GGAGTGTCCTGGCGTGGAGCCTCCATTCCTATAGAAATTGGAAAGCCATCGATTGAAGGAAATTTCGCTATGACACCAGCTTACTTCCGCCCATCTACCTACATGCCCGCACATACTGTGAGCGTAGGGTAGGGGGGACTTAGAAAGGAGGAGAAAGGGAGTCCCTGACATGCACTTTGTCGGAATCTTGCCTTTGTCTTGGCGTAGGATTAACCAGTTTAGAGGCAGTAGTATAGGACATGGGGGTAGGAGCGCATTTTTCATATTCCGGAATTCCTGGAAGTGGCCAAATGGGTTTTTCCTGGAATTGGGGGGATCACGTGACCTGATCGAGGCTTAAAGACATATATCATTATATTAATGAGCGCAGATATTAGAAATATTATATATATATATATTAATAATATAATGAGAAATCGTAATGAACTAGTCAGAAGGCTATTATCTGGAATCAAAATGAGTGAACTCCAAAATCTAGTTAATATAAGGGAAGAAGCGAATCGCCCTATTCCCCCTTAAAGAAGAAGAAGACAACAACAAGAAGTAAGGAGAAATGTCCAACAATTAATACAGGATTTTGAGGATAATCCTATTCCACAATATCGGCCTCGTCCTGCACCTCCAACAAAGAAACAACAACCAGTACTAGCCCCTAGAACACAAATCAGTGAGAAATGAAGGGCTATGAATGGTTATACTAGATTATTTGAGATATCATTAAAGTCTGATAGAGATGCCTTAGTACAGCTACAAAATACTAGACTGGCAATTACTAGATTGTTTGATACTATACTTAGTAATACAAAAGGTTTCAAATTTTGGGGAGACTCTTAAGGTTTACTTTTATTAAAAGAAAGGATGATATTAATGTAAATAAGCCACCCTATTCTAATAGTAGGGCGCAGATTGTAATTAATCCCAATGATTTTTACCAAGCCTAGAATTATCACAGCAGCAAATATTGAATGGAAATGGTGTATGGCTGTCTGAGGGTAGTGGCTGGACTATTTTTAACATTGATGAGCACTATATTAATACTGTTGTGTATGATGTATTGAAAGGTTCCTCTTATATACCACTACGACGGAACTTAGTAATTCAATCATGGGATTAGTTAGCATTAAAGATGAAGATAATGAGTGTTTCAGATGGTGTCACATCCGCTATTTGAACCCACAGAAAAAAAGATCCCCAGCGGATCAAAAAAATCAGACAGAGAAGTATTGCTAGACTTGGATTATGATGGTATTGAGTTTCCTATTAGTATAAAAGATTATGCTAAACTTGAGTGGAAAGATACTGTAAATATTAGTGTTTTCGGCTATGAGAACAAACAATTTTATCCTATTTGTTTCCAAAGAGTGTAACGAGGAAGTTTTGAACCTACTGCTTATAACGGAGGGCAAGAAGAAACATAATGTTCTTATCAAGGATTCTAATAGCTTACTGTATAATAAGACCAAACATAAGGAGAGAAAGCATTTTTGGGTGCACTGTCTCCAATGTTTTAGTACTGAAGAGATACTTTCCAATTATAAGACCAACTGCATGGTAATCAATGGTCAGCAGTCTATCAGGATGCCACAGAAAGGGAATAATATGTTACAGTTCCAAAATTATCCTAGGAAGATGCCGGTACCATATGTAATATATGCAGATTTTGAAGCTATCACGGAAAAGATAGAAGGATGCTTCCCTAATAATACTAAATCTTGTACTGACAAATATCAAAAGTATACGGCGTGCAGCTATGGTTATAAAGTAGTCTGCTGTTATAATGACAAATATACTAAGCCTGTAGAGATTTACAGAGGAGAGGATCCAATAAAGAAGTTTATGCAGGAGATGCTTAAGGAGGTAGAATTTTGTAAGAATATGATCAGTACTAAATTTACGAAACCGCTGAAGATGACGGATGAGGATGAGCAATGTTTTAAAACTGCTCAGGAGTTCCATATTTGTGGTCAAAAGTATAGTGATAAAGATATCGGTGTTAGGGACCATTGTCATATCACTGGACAGTACAGGGGATCAGCACAGCAAGATTGCAACCTTAAATTAAGAATTAGTTCAAAGGAGTTCAAGACCCCTGTCATATTCCATAATCTGCGGGGGTTATGATTCCCATTTTATCATGCAAGAAATACAGTCGGGGACATAAGTATTCGTCACTTTCAATATGGCGGCGTTTGTTTACATTTTACGCGCGTTAGTTTTAACACCGTTTGCGGCAAATCTAACTTTAAAACACCTTAATATTTAGTGAGATGACCCTTCATTTCAATTACATTATTTAGGCGGTCAGATATGGACTGGTAAAGGTTTCTTATATAATCCAATTCGATGTTCCGCCACACGCTCTGGATTTCACGCAGAAGATCATTTTTGGTAGTGATATCTACCGCGGACTTTTATAGCTCTCTCTTCATGTAGAGCCAGATATTTTCTATTACATTTAAATCTGGTGATTGTGCTGGCCATTCCATTGAGGTTACTTCGTTTTGATCTTTATAATTTTCTACAGTGTGGGCTCTGTGAACAGGCGCACTGTCATCCATGAACAAGTATTCTTTTCCTTCAAAATACCAGACAACTACTGGCCATAAGTTCTTGTCTAATTGCAACACCATCATAACAAATACATCCCTATACATCTCTATTTGTGAAGCTCCTTTTCCTGCCACTTCGTGTCAAACTCTCCACTGTGCCAGTCCTTCGGTACTTGCTTAGAACGCTCGTGATAGTCGTTCTTGGAATGTTGAACCTTCTTGACAGTTCCGCTTTGTTTTGCACGGATTCCGACAGAGTAATAATTGATTCTTTTGTCTCTGTGGACAGTTCAGCACCTTTTCGACTCATGAGAGCTGAAAATAAATTCTCATAAGCAAAAACAAAAATAATATGACCCTTTATAGCGACCTAACCTTGAACTTACTATATTTTCAGGATTCATTCAGTACATGTGAGCAAAATACCTTGGTGGAAAACAAAAGTACCTTTCAATGTGTACCTCTGACTGTGTACCATCTACAGACAAATATCTCATGAACTTACTAGGTCAGCGCCATTTTCCCAGCAATGCTGGGGTGGCCCAATTCCTTTAGCAGGGGCACCTCTTGACTTGTATATGCAGATGCTTGCTTGCAATTCAAAGACAAAAAAAGAAAGTAAGAAAAACCAAGTAACTCCAAGCAGTTCGAGGCCGCAAGCAACGTAATCCCTTGAAGGACAATCAGAATTTTCTCGCCCCAGTACTTTGAGTTAAAGTGAGCTCAGTTAACAAAGTTTCCAGGTCGAAAGAAACAGTCGCTCCCGTCCCTGTTAGACCCATTACACTAAAAGTAAGAGACCAAGAAACAAAAACCAATTATCTGACGAAGACCGAGAAGCTTTATTTGCCAAGCTGCCTTTTCTTTGGGTTTCCACTCCCAAGAAACATTGTTCGTTGGAATTGTGACTGATGCTTCAAAAGTTCGTCACTTTCTTAATCCCCGAGATCAGTCTGAATTACCTGCTGCTTAGTTCATCAACAGTTTATTCCAACAAGCTCCAAACTTTTTCAAAAGCAACGACCATAGCATGCAAAACTTGAGTGTTTTGCGTCGTTTGGCAACAGCATAATTCCTCTATTACCTTTAAAAACTCATATATCAGGTGTTTACTGAAGATTGTGTAAAATATGTCTGTGTTTGATTTTTCTTTCATCACATAGGTAACCATACAGCTAACCAAATACAGTACAATGTACAAGTGGATGTTCAGGTGTAAACTGAATTTAAGAAGATCCCTTTTTTCCAAAATCTCTATCGACATTATCATACAAAGCACAGTATTAAGTATTGCTTTAGTGGAGTGATAATAGTTGCCCTTCTGTGAATGTTTAAAAGTGCACTGACAGGAAATGTATTATGCAATTTAAATGCACCTGTCTCTTGCACTTAAGGGGCTGTTTCATACTGTTCTCTTTTACTATGGTTAAGTTGGTTTGGCAACAAACCTCTAACTGTTTTTGTTACGTGCAGACATTTTCCAAAAGCATCATTTTCTTACTCGTTGAGATAACGAGGTATATTTTTTGTCAACTGATTCCACATTTAGGCCTTAAATTTTGATCCCCGATCCCGTGAATTTTTTTGATCCCTGGATTCAATCCGGGTTAAATTAACTGAAAAAAGTGTTTCTCTTTTTGATTTCTTTTACAATTAGTCACATCATCTACTGACTGGAGAATTAAGGTTGGTTCCGGTCTGTTCTTTTGAGTTATCATAATTTCTATGCAGGAAATATATTTTTTTAAAAATCTCCCAGCCAGCAAACATTTGCCTGAAGGACAGATATTTTGAACCATAATGAAAAACGTGTCTGCTTATATCCTGTCTTTGCAGATAGCGCAATTAAGGTACGAGAATAAAAACTTAAAGGAGAGGATAAGAGTATTGACAACAATGAGCGACGAACGATTAATCGAATATGAGGAATGTAGGAGACAATTAGAGATGAGAGGTGAAATGCCCTTTTGTAATGGGGTATTTTATTTTAACTTCACTTAGTTTTAATTGGAAGTTTTGTAACATAAGATATGTAGTTTTTATCTTATGAATAATTTAACACTATCATATTTATTATCACTATTATTATTACTATTATTTCTAAAATGACTGACAAGAGATGAAAACAAACTCATAATGACTTACATGTTGGTCCAAGATTGTAAGAAAGCAACTATCAAAAAAGAGAAGTTGGAGGAATATGAATACAAAGTGTTTGTTGGGCTTCACTGTCAACTCCTGCCAAAACCCTAAAAACCCACATTTTAAAGACAGATACTTGTATGCACAGGTGTCTTATGGTTTGTCAACTGAGGAAGCTCTATGGCTTGTGTCAAGGCACAATATTCTCTCCGCAAAGAGAACACACGTTTAAGAGAAAGACTAAGAAGTCTGGAGAGTTTTGTAAAGGTGAGTGGTGAATTGCAATAACAAACAATTTAGTGTTGTAAAACCTGCTTATAAATAAACATTTTTTGATAAATTGTCACATTCAGTGAAATTTACATGCATCATTCCCCAATGTTAGCATGTATGCTCAGGTGTATTGTGGTTTGTCAACTGAAGAAGGTCTATGGCTTGTGTCAAGGCACAATATAACAGCAGCTATGCATCATTTGGTCATTTCATCATGATATGAAGTGTAGTCTCCTTTAATTCTCATAAATTTCATTTTTAATTTCATCCAATTTGCAAGGTAAAACGTGTGACAAAATCATATAAAGTGTAAACCTGACCCTCAGTAAAACATTGCTTGACAAGGGTGTGTTTATAGAAACACATGGATAGAATCATCAACCGAATCAATTTTCCACTATTCAAACCTCCGATGCTTGGTTCATCAACAAATTATTCAAACAAGCTCCAACTATGGAGTTGCTCAACATGGCATACAATTCTTAATGTTAGGCGAATTTAAGATGATGGACAAACCTTTCCAATAGCAATGACCAGAGCATGTGTGGTTTGGCACCATCACAATTTCTCTATTACCTTAAAAACCCTTCCTGTACCAGGAGATACTCACTCAAGATTGTTTCTATGAATGTATTCACTAAGATCAATCTCACATCACCTGCTGCTGAGGTTCATCAACATAATTTTATTATTCTAACAGTCTCTAAGCCTAAAGCATCTTAAAATTATTGCATACAACCTTCCTGTTGGGCAAGTTAACAATGACAGACAACTTTTTTCCAAAACCAGCCACAAGGACATTGAAAACGTTTTTTAAAGGCACCCAATCATCCATAGGATCAATTTTCCCCAAAATACTTTCCAGTTCTTAAAATGTTTACTTTTTTTGGATTATTCTGACATAAAAGAGTTTCTTATACGTCGTCAAAAGAGAGTCAGATGGGATAGTAGTTCTCAATTGTCAAGCAGCATAATTACGCAATGCAATGAACAAATTTACCTTCCATTGCCCAGATGCTGGTTTGACTGTAACAAACACCCTATATTTTCAGGATTCATTCAGTACATGTGAGCAAAATACCTTGGTGGAAAACAAAAGTACCTTTCAATGTGTACCTCTGACTGTGTACCATCTACAGACAAATATCTCATGAACTTACTAGGTCAGCGCCATTTTCCCAGCAATGCTGGGGTGGCCCAATTCCTTTAGCAGGGGCACCTCTTGACTTGTATATGCAGATGCTTGCTTGCAATTCAAAGACAAGAAAAGAAAGTAAGAAAAACCAAGTAACTCCAAGCAGTTCGAGGCAGCAAGCAACGTAATCCCTTGAAGGACAATCAGAATTTTCTCGCCCCAGTACTTTGAGTTAAAGTGAGCTCAGTTAACAAAGTTTCCAGGTCGAAAGAAACACGCTCCCGTCCCTGTTAGACCCATTACACTAAAAGTAAGAGACCAAGAAACAAAAACCAATTATCTGACGAAGACCGAGAAGCTTTATTTGCCAAGCTGCCTTTTCTTTGGGTTTCCACTCCCAAGAATGATGCCTCACTGATAGTGTACCTAAACCCAAGTTCAAGCCAAGCTCCACTGACCATCCAACGTTCAACTGCATTATCCACTCCTTATCAAGGCCAAATAACTGGGTAGCAATGACTAATCCACCCACCATCTTTAGTCTTTGACTTGTCAAAAGACAGCACCAAATTTATGATTTTGACATAAAAGCTTGTCATCTGATACGCAAGACCCTATTTGATTGGCAAAAATGATGGCTGCAGAGAACAAGACAGCTCTTCTCAAGTTGGATGCGATGTTCCATAAGAACAGGTAAATTAATTTCATTTTTAAAAGAAAGTTGTTTTTTCTGTGATTTTCATTGATTTGGTTCGGTTAACAAAATATCTGTTCGTTGATTAGTTTTCAGGGAAGTCCTGCAGGTCTTATGAGAGAGCAATGAAGAAGCAAGGAGGAGGTTTTTTCGACGTATTTTTGGCATTTTATGAGAAACTTTCAATTTCAATTTGATTTTTCTTTCAGGTTTGATGAAAAAATATCATAGTTTCCAGTTTTCAGGATACATATTAAAGCTTATGTGGGCTGATCATCACACCACATACCATGTATTTTTTCTGGGACTGTTGAATTCACTCTGTTAA